TAATCAAGTGGCTGCTGGCGAACATTGCGGCGCCGAACCCAGCAATCTTCAACAATGCAGTCATCAAATTCTGACAGACGTTTACCAGCTTCTTCAAACAAATTACATTTATCGTGCAGGTCATTTACAAAATCTTTTAGAATTTAAATTGAGCTGCACTGACTGCAGAGATTTGCCGCTGCTGTTAAAGTGCAGCAATACAGTATTCCAAAATTCTGAAACAATTCCAGGCTCTAGGCTGCTCATTTGTTGCATTATGAGACTCTGACCTCTCTCTTTACAGTCTTCAGAATATTCATGTAAAATGTCCATAATGCCTTCATAGCCATGGACTAGTGAGTGACAGGCATCTGCACAACACTCCCAACATGTTTCACACAATTTGTTTTGGCATTGACAGCGAAAGTCCCTTCTCATCAAGTTTGTCTTTTAGTGTCTTATAACGCCGAGTAGAAGCAGTGAAGAAAACCTATAATGCTTTAACAAAATCAAAAAACTTTACAGCCTCAGTACAATCGTCTTTTTCCAATAAGATTTAAAGAGTGCAAAACAAGGTACAAAATTTGTATATTCAAATAAAGTTTTCTTGCCTGCATGCCCTTGCCAGTTCTCTACAGCAAGTCCAACACTATTAAGAAATGTTAATAGAGCATGTATTTCTTCTCCTGTATGTCCTGCTGCTGGTATAAATGTTACAAGGCGCTCCATGGGTTGGTTTTCTTCTAGGTAGCACAAAATCAGTGTGATTTGATCTATGTGTGAGTAATCTTCACATGAATCCACTGATTTAGAATAATATTCAGCCTTTTAAACACATTCTATGATAACATCCAAAACCTTTTTGTCAGTAATTTGTATCAGCTCCTCGCAAACATTTGCAGACAAATAACCTGTACATCCTTTGCTTTCATTTGAATGTGTTCTGCTAAAAATACTGCTCATACGCATCATACTCTGAAAGTAGCTCTAAAGCAAGGTAGTTACCACTATGTGGAGATCCAATAGTTTGATCATAACCTCTAAAAGCGAACCCTCACGCTGCAAGGAATGTAATCACACTGAGCAAACGCCTATTTAAGTTCTAACCATTGTTAGTCAACGCTTCTGTTTATGTCTGAATGTTATAGTCAATCCGAACTTCTATTTTTGGCTGCATCCATCACAGCATGGACATGATGGAGAGATTGTTCATGTGCAGAAACTCTCTCACTTACATGCTTCCAGGCACTGAGGCCCAAAACCAAAAATGCATTTCTTGCATGACTAAATAATTTGCACTCAAAATGGCCTATTGTTTCTAAGTAGCACAGCAACTTTTACTCAACCTTATAACCATTAGGACATTTGTGAAAAAACATATCTACTGTACAGCAACGTCCATCATTAAAGGGGGAAAAGAGAAGTCACCAGCACTCAGTGAAATAATCAAACAAGTTCCTTTTAATGGGCGTAAACGTCACACAAACACAAGAGCCAACTTTTCGAGACCGCGCAGGGTCTCTTCACCAGGGCTTAAGATGTGACAGATCTGTACTTGCACGGTGCCATCCGTGATTGTCATTGCAAGCACCATCTTATGTATAGGCCCGGACTGCTGAAAGGTGTGCGGAGGATTCCTCCATCTACCCACATCATTAAAGGGGTTCTAAACCCTCCGGTTTTTTTGCCTATATCTACTGCTAGCAAGCAGTAGATATATGCAAAACGTTTTTTGTTTTTTTAAACCCGCTTTAACAGCTGTTTAAACTTAACCCGTTTTCGCAGCGCGCTCCCGCCCCGAGAATACGAAACTGCTCGGGCGGCCGCAAAGCATCTTGAGGCGGGCGCAGTTTGGATTTTCAGCTAGGAGACGAGCTGACACGCAAGGTAAGTCTATGGACGCGTGCTGCCGCATGCAGACACCGCGGGATCGGAAGTGCCAGCAAGCACAGAGGAGTCCAATGTCAGATTTGAAACATGGATTTTCCACATCTATAAACAATCTATTTGCCTGTAGTGGTGTAACCTCTTCAGCAGCTGTCTGTTGTATATCTACATGTGTGATTACACATGGTTCTTCATCCTGCAATGTACTTTGCTCTAATAGTGGTACAGCTGTTTCAGGACTAGACCATTCTGAAGACTCGCATACAGAATCAGCTTCTGAATGCTGAGCAGATGTCTCCTGAACAGATAAAGTATCTTCTTCCTAGGATCCACATGAGGACTGCAGAGTAGTTGATGGAATGTTTTCCTTAGTCATTATTTTTCTTTTCCTCTTCTGTGCACCACTTATATGTTTCAACATAAATATATCAATACATTTCTTCTCGAGAGATAAGAATAATGCACACAATATACTGTGTGTAAGTTTGTTTATTTCAACGCAATAACTCTGCAACTCAATGGTCTCAGGACTCTGCAAGGCAATGGACTTGGCCTAGGACTCAGAACCCTGCAACTCGATTGACTTAGGATGATTGAATTGCAGGAGGTGCAGTTGGGGTGCCATTCAAATGAATGGCAATGGCACGCAACTCCTGCATTGTAGGTGCGATTGCGTGGTACTGTGCGTGAATTGCACAAGATAGTGTTATTAACACAAGACCCTAGTATGACCTGGCCCTAAATCATACAGCCTGAGATCCATATTGGAATGGATTATGCATACAACAGAGGATTTTACAGCATCTTCTAAGTTTACAACAATTAGCAGTGGACAGGTTCTCTTGTCATACTCCATTGCCGTGTCCAACACACACAAATTATTTATAGAGAATTTATAAAATAACTGACCATATTCTGCTTATCTTGTGTCTGTGTCCTCCGCCTCCTTCTCCTCCGTACCGGCTGGCTCTGAGGTCAGGCATAGCCAGAGATCACTCCGCAGAGGCACACAGGTGCAGTCAGGTAACATGCTGGGAACCGCGGCAATGGGAGACAGGGCTGTCCGATGATAGAGATGATCTCCCAGCTGTGCCGCTCGTCTTCCTGACCCTGAACTCAGCCCTGGTGAGACCCTGCATGCAGCCCTGGTGAGGCCCCCAAAGCCCTGATGAGACCAACACTTGCCCACACAGCCATGGTGAGACCCGCACATAACCACACAGGCTTGGTGAGACCCGCTTGCACAGCCCTGGTGAGATCCGCACGCAGCACTGGTGAGAGCCGCCCCTGCTCCCACAGCCCTGGTGAGACACTGCATGTAGCCCTGTTGAGACCTGCACACAGCCCTGCCGAGACCCTGCATGCAGCCCTGCTGAGACCCTGCATGCAGCCCTGTTGAGACCCTGAATGCAGCCTGTTGCGCAACCTCAAATTATGTAGCTTCATATTTCTCTGTATTGCTGAGATTTGTACTCCTCTATAGCCGGTGCCTTTCTGCATTGCTGTATAATGTATTGCTAAGATTTGTACTCCTCTATAGCCGGTGCCTTTCTGCATTGCTGTATAATGTATTGCTGGGATTTGTAGTCCTCTATAGCCGGTGCCTTTCTGCATTGCTGTATAATGTATTGCTGAGATTTGTACTCCTCTATAGCCGGTGCCTTTCTGCATTGCTGTATAATGTATTGCTGAGATTTGTACTCCTCTATAGCCGGTGCCTTTCTGCATTGCTGTATAATGTATTGTTGGGATTTGTAGTCCTCTATAGCTGGTGGTATTCTGCATTGCAATATAATGTATTGCTGAGATTTGTAGTCCCTCTACAGCTTAGAGTCAGTGGCAGAACTACCAGGGTCACAGCAGTTGCCGCTGTGACTGGGCCCTGGCGCCCCACCAATGTCCTAAAATCATTAGTCTGTATTATTTTAGAAAAAACGGTCACATGACACACAAAAAAAAGGTATTGGTAATTGGGATCGGTGAGTACTCGAGGAAAAGTATTGTTACTTGTATTCAGCCTTGAAAAAACGGTATCGGTGCATCCCTAGCTCTTAGCCAACAACCTGGGACACTCTGGCATGAAAGAGAGCAGCAGGCACCCTGCAAACATTGTGAAGCAGAGCGACCATGACACTCTGCCTGCAGGCCCCCCCACATGTCCCAAAGAGACGCCGTCTGAGTTAAAATTAATTACAGGGAGGGGTCTGACCAGAGCCGTAGCTAGCTTCTTTTGTGCCAGAGGCAAGTACAGAAAATTGTGCCCCCCAACAGACGTGTGCGGTATGTGACGTCCTGTGCCCTGCCTCCCGGATGGCAGCGCGCATGCGCAGAATGCGCTGGCGGCCAAATCCAAAATAGCATAAAAATGTGTTTTTGAAGAAACTAATGAAAACATTTTTAGTTTTCGTGCATTTAGTCCAAAACAAATTTATAGTCTTTGAACATGTCTAGTTGTGTGTGTGTGAGGGCCTCACTCGCCCCATGGTAGCTACAGCCCTGGCTATGACCTTTGGGCAGGTCCACTATATGTGAAGTGCAGTATCTTCCCATCCACATCCTAGCAAGCAGTGAGGTGAATTTGCAATAGCCAATAGCAGACTAGCTATTGCACCCGCCCACTGCTGCTGTCAATCAGCAGAGGTGGACCTGAAGTTCTCCATCAGTTCCACCTCTGCTGACTGACAGCAGCAGAGGGCGGGTGCAATAGCCAGCTAGCTATTGACTATTGCAAATTGAAATAGCCAATAGCAATCTAGCTATTATATCCTATGCCATTTTTTTTTGTTCTGATGGCAGCAGCTGTCAGAACACTACAAAAAACAGCAGATAGCAAAGGAAGCATTAGCTTCTTTGCTTTCTGCCATCATTTCAGAGGGGTGCTCTCTTCCTTGTTGTTGTACCTCCGTGAAATGAGAAGGGCACCTACTTATTTCAATTTGGGATCCCTGCAGCAGTTTTAAGCCCGCTTGCTGTGTGTTACTTGTATCTTCCATCGGGTACAGGTCCCCCTCATTATCCCGCGCTGTCCCTTTAACTAGGAAGAGCATCCTCCAGGGGAGCCTGTGCTGTACAGCAGTGGGCGTGGCTTAGCCGTCATCAGATGATCGGTGCCCTGAGTCATTACAGCAAAGTCTGCAGGTTGCTGGAGGTGAGCAGTGTACGCAGAGCCGAGGTAAGGACCATCACTGTCTTATAGATCAGCACATCGCATGGTGTGTGTGCGTGTCAGGGTGGGGGGATCTGCCGGGGGGTGACATCTTCTCTCATCTCCGACTTCTGTGTGTGAGGTAACCTGGCCCTGCTTATATATTGTATACTGTGCTGTACTGTCTCTGCTGCCTGGACCAAATAAAGTGCACTCAGGTCATCATCAAACAGGGACAGTAGATAAGTATTTCCTTCTGCAGTCTCATATCCAAGTGGGATGATCACATTGATCTTCAGTTATTGGAAAAGTAACATTTGAGCATCTCCAGCGCTGGCGCATCACTCATCCAACTGGGCGCTTGGTACTGAAAACATTTGAGAATCAGAGTGAGACCAAAGTGTCATTGAAATTAGTGATGAGCCTGGGTTTGAAATTTGGAGAACGCAAACTTAGCGGTGAATCTTTTTAAAGTTAATGGGGCTTTTTTATGGGGCTTCACAACATAGAATAAACACAAATATTTAATATTTTAGACCCCGTTCACACCAGGGCGTTTTGTCGTGCTGAAACGCATGCAAATTAAAATCCCATGTATTCCTATGGGTGCCATTCACGCAAATGTGCTGAATCGCATTTAAAAATATGCGTGTTTCAAATAGTCCCTGAGATTCTTTTGTGGCACTTATCAGCTCGTTATGCTCCATAGACTTCAATGGAAAAGCACCAATCAGCGCATTTTTGCGTGTTATTTCTGCTTTAACTTTGTTTCATCTTGAAGAATGACTTAGTCACTTAGCAGTTTCTTACATCTCTGAAGCGCACCAAACATGTTACACTGTGACCGTACAATCTAGAACTATGGGTATTTTAAAAATGACCCCTGAAGTGTGGGCTACCCCTGCACTGTACGTTTTTCTCTAGGGCCAGAATAAAGAAGGTACACTCACCGGATCCCGCAGCACCTCTCTCTCCCTCCACGCCTGGCTGTGGTATGTCCCTCAACATCCTCGCGTCTAATGGAAGTTAATGGACTGCCATAGACGTGATGACTTCATGGGTCCTTGCCTGAGGGAGAAGAGGCTGTGGGGACGGGTCTAGCTGCCAGGCAGGCTCAAGGAATCCCGTGAGTATTTATTTTTTGTTTTAGCCCCTAGACCAAAACTAGCACTTAACCCATCAGTGCAGGGGTTAGCCCCATCGCAAAGATTCATTTTTAAAATGCCCAGAGTTCTTTTTTACATTTGCCAAAATGCAATACGAGCTTCATTTTCTTCACTGTTCCCCTCTCTGTCGATCTCACAGCTCTTTAGAATTTCACCTAATGTTAAGAAATAGGCTAAGGCAGTGGTTCTCAACCTGTGTAACCTCAGGACTCACATTTGTCCTTGGTCATTAAGCCGCGACCCTAGTCGCACCGCACAGGACGCACGGCATTGTGGTACCGCACGTTCTGGTGCAGGCAATCAAACTATGGGCAGGAGGTGCATTTAAGTGCCATTCAAATGAATGGCAAAACAACGCACCTCCTGCATCAGAACACATGGTAGGTGTGATTGCGTGGTACAGTGCGTTAATCACATGGCCCGCCCTATAGAGGAGCCGAGAGACGGAATGTGACACCACTCATGTTCAGGCACCTCTACAGGGCACACAAGGGAGCTGTAAGCAATGCACGTATGGATGGAGCTTCCTCACGGCCATACCCCCAGCCCACCCCACCTCAAGCTGACACTCTGCACCAGGCAGCATTTTTTGAATGGCTGCCTGGCGTGAGAACTGACAGTACTGCTCTAGGGGGAGGCTGAGGGTACTCTCACCTGGCGCAGTGGAAGGCGCCTGGCGACCCACTGAACATGGGATTTCGACCCACTTTTGGGTCGTGACCCACCAGCTGAGAACCACGGGGGATAGGGTTAGCTCAAGTTTGCTGTTCAGATCAAGCTGTAAGGAGTTTAGATTAAAGGCCAATTCCACTTTTAATACCATGTTTCATGTTAAACCCATATTTAAGGTATAGCATGAAATATGATGCCATTCCGCAGCCTCCCACCCTCAACCCCCCCTTTCTCCCACTTACCTGAATCTCAGGGTGCTTCTTCCTGTAGGCTCCCGTATGTTGCTGAATTCAGCAAGACTGTGCATGGCTTTTCCAATACAGCCACGGTATTCATTTACAGGATGTGTGAATAAATAAAATACAAGTCATGTGTGCCACTGTAGCAAAGCGGAATTCTAGTTCTATGGAGCACAATGACGTACATACACTATATTACCAAAAGTATTGGGACGCCTGCCTTTACATGTAGATGAACTTTAATGGCATCCCAGTCTTAGTTTGTAGGGTTCATTATTGAGTTGGCCCACCCTTTGCCGCTATAACAGCTTCAACTCTTCTGGGAAGGCGTCCACATGTTTAGGAGTGTGTCTATGGGAATGTTGGACCATTTGTGAGGTCAGGTACTGATGTTGGACATTAGTATGCTGATGCCATAAGAGTTCCCTTCACTGGAACTAAGGGGCCAAACCCAACCCCCGAAAAACAACTCCACACCATAATCTCCCCTCCACCAAACTTTACACTTGGCACAATACAGTCAGACAAGTACCATTCTCCTGGCAACCGCCAAACCCAGGCACGTCCATGGGATTGCTAGACAGAGAAGCGTGATTGCTCACTCCACAGAACACGTCTCCACTTCCCTAGAGTCCAGTGGCGGCGTGCTTCACACCACTGCATCCGACACTTTGCATTGCACTTGGTGATGTAAGGCTTGGATGCAGCTGCTCGGCCATGGAAACCCATTCCATGAAGCTCTCTACGCACTGTTGTTGTGCCAATCTGAAGGCAACACTAAGTTTGGAGGTCTGTAGCTAATGACTCTGCAGACAGTTGGCGACTTCTGTGCACTTCAACATGCGCTGACCCCGCTCTGTCATTTTACGTTGTTCCCAGTTGCTTCCACTTTGTTATAATACCACTAACAGTTGACCGTGGAATATTTAGTAGCAAGGAAATTTCATAGAACACCCGAATCCAATGATTTGGAGAGGTGTCCCAATACTTTTGGCAATATAGTGTACTTCAGTACGGACCTGAGGCTGGAGAATCAGTCTGTAGGACGTTGCACATTGCACCTGCCATCCATTGATCCCAGTTGCCATGCTTTGCAGGCTGTAATGCAAAAAATGGATGAATACATTGGCGTTATACATTTTCTGCAAAAAGTGGAATACACCTTTAAGGTATTAATGCCAACGTGTTGCAATGTGCAGCAATACTGTAAAGGAAATAAAGGCATTTTGGCTCCTGCTGTTTAAAAAAAATGCACAGTAACATGACACTTAAAAAAAACCACACATTGACGCAAGTCCGTTTACCGTGCATCAACTAATCACAACACATGTGATGTGAATCCATTCTAAAAGATAAAGTATCATTTGATCCTGCCTGAAGTATCCTAGGGCGATGTGCAGCATTTTTGGAGAATTCTACAAAAGCCATGGTTAGTATTCTCACTGGGATATGTTATTTCTATATATCTAGAATGAGTAAGTGCTAACAACATATACTAGAAAGTGGACAGGAGGGTCTAAGGGATGTACTAGGAATGGAGCTGGATTTGTACAAATCATATCTCAATTAGAACTGCCACATTGGTGGGTACCAATTTTTTGGTAAAATATAAGAGACATGGTTACGTCGGGTAAAAAGACACCAAACATGTCAAGCCTTAAAATTGCACGCACGCGCGAAACCTTCAAGAGCTACAATACCCAAAATTGCCCATAGGCGACGCTTTAAAAGCTTTTACCGCTCATCAGTTTAGTGTTATCAGTGATTGATGGCCCTAAAATGATTGCTCTCACTCCGACGTTTGCGGTGATATTTAACATGTAACTTTTATTTTAACTCTTTTTTATTTATATATTTTTTTTTTTACACTTATTGTTGTTGCTATTACATAGGGGATAACAATCCCCCTATATAATAGCAAAGGCACACTGACAGGTCCTCTTTATGGAGACATTAGGGGTCTCTAGGACCCCTAATGTTACCTGGGGACCCCAAAAGAAGCTGATGAACAGATCTGCTTCATCAGCTTCTATTCTCTGTCTATAGCAGCCAGATGACTGACAGGTGAATGCGGAAGTGACACTTCTGCATTCACCATACGGAGAGAGATCAGCAAGGAGGAAGAAGATGCTGATCTCCCTCCCATCTTCCTCCTGACGCCCTCCCGAGCTGGTCCCGGGCTGCAGATGGGCTATAGGATCCCGTTGATTTAAGAGGAGGGGGTCATGAGCGGCGGCCCTCGCGCGGGGGGGGGGTCATGCGGCAGATCAAATCACCCCATACAACCAATCGACGGCTATAGACTGTTGCTCGGTTGTATGAGAAACAGCCAGTAACGGTTATGCTGAAAGTACGGGTTTTTCCTGCCCATGCGCGAGCAGGAAAAAAATGCCGTCAAAATGCCACAAATGGGAGTCTGCCATCCGTTTTTTCTCAATGGGCAGACGGCAGGAGGTTAAGAACAAGAAACCCACCTAAACCTATAGCTACGCACACGTCCTGCGTACTTTATTGAAGTTGCTTTGTGGTGTGTAGCATGACCACGACTGATTAATAGCTTCCAATTTCCAGTATATAGGTACAAGAGGTTGTAATGCTTGCCTATCCACACTGCAGCTACTGCTTGTTCAGGCCAATGCCATGTGTTCTGCCCACAATACAAAACAGTTGAAGCTGGTAGGTTTTGTTTTCTATTTTCTATTCAAAATATTCATTCAAATCACTTGGGCCAGGTTCACACTTGCCCGATCCGTGACTGCACGACAATCGTGGACGCTGAACGCGCTGGCAGTGCCATTCTTTTCTTATGGCACCCCAGTCGCACCGGGTGGATTGCGCGGTTTCCCGCCACAATTCCGCCCGTGCAATTGAACACCGTAAAAAAGCTGCATTTACCTTTTCTCTGCGATTGCCAAGCGGATGTAACCCCATTGAAATCAATGGGGCCGTGCTGCAACCGTTGTGTGCAACTGCACACGAGTGCACGGTCCCAGGACATGCGTCCCGGATTGCCCAGGTCTGCACCAGCCCTTAGCGGGGAGAAAACATTTAAACATACAGTATATCAACATTGTTCTTTAACTATAAAATAAATAAATAAACCAAACAAACCATCGATTTTACACTTACAGCCCTTAGAGGTGATGGCTGTATTATTCTTTTCATGCTTTTTTACCTTTATTTTCACCTTGTAATCGTGCCAGTAACACACTTCCTGTCTTAACAACTTATGACAACTTAGTGACATCTTATACTTTTCACACTGTGTCTATAGAGGAGCAGCACTGTTAACTTAGGCTGCTCTCCTGTTCTGGACTACAAACACCTTTCCTTCTTCTCAACCTTCATTCCATAAGGAGGAAAACGCTAGAAAGGCTGATAACATTGTTTGAGTTTTCAATCCATTGCTCAGGAAAATTCAAGGGCGCAGAATTTCTGTCAGGATCAACAGGCATTTTTCTGTAATTTCAGAAAATATAGCCAGCTTTAAAAAAAAAAAAAAACTAATACAGCCACCACGTGTAAACAGTAAACTGCAATATAGTACATTTTTGATTGATGGGTTTAAATATACTTTCAAAAAGAACTCTGGGTAAAGAAAAAAACTGCAAGGGTTAAGGGCTCATTTATTCTAGGGTGATTGTAGATAGATGTCACACCAGAATCATTTGTAATCCAAAGTGTTCATTTATTGAACTGTCATGTCATCAGAACAAGCTTTCGGGGCCATGCAGGGTCCCCTTCATCAGGCTCAGCAATGACAATGACAATTTTTTCTAGGGGACTCAAAAAAAGCAGATTTACCCACCTAATCCTCGGTTCAGCAGTGGTCAGTGCTCACCTCTCTCCCCCTCCACTCCTGATTTTGGAATGTCCTTTGGCGTCCTCACATCCAATGCAAGTCAATGGAACTGCATTAAACGTGATGATATCAGCGGTCCATAGACTGCCAGAGTGAAGGGGAGAAGAGGCTGCGAGGACCGGAGGAAGTCGGCAGCAGCGAGGATCAGGTAAGTAAATCTGCTTTGATAGTGACCCCTAGACAAATTGACCACCTAACCCTAATAATGTGAGGGAAGCTCCACTGTAAAGGTCCTACTTTTATCCTATTATTTTTTCTGATGAACTTGCAACTCCACAATGTACCAGTGAGTGCCCATCCCAAGTGCATCTTGGGTCCGCCAGGGAAATAGAATTTGTTCTGCCTATTAAAAATGTATGTTCCTGTAGGTAATTTGATCATGGAAGAAAAGGACAGTGTCATGTATTGTTATCAGCATATGGCACGCTGCTGCACTGTGACTCTTTGAACACAAAGGACATTTTTTTGAACAGTGAGTGCTATAAAATAACAGTTTAATGAAGTTAAGTTAAAGTGAAACTAAACGCAGGAGTTTTTTTTTTAATTCAAAAGTCAGCTTTATTGTGTAAATACACGATACATGGGTAACATATATAGGTATAGACCATTCTGAATACAAGCAGTATAGCAGTAGTGGTGTGCCCATGGTGTAAGGGCAATCGTCATAGGGCAAAAACAGCCCTGGCGGTAATTATTACGATGTATAAGCATTTTGTACTCACATGTTTATCTAACAATTCTCAGAGATAAGCACATCGTGCCACTCTTATAAAAAACGCAGGAGTTAAATCGGTAAAATGCATTCAAGTAGCTTAACTATTAACAAAAATGTATCTCATTTGTGTATCACTCGGCTGTAGATCCTCAAATCATCTCTGAATTGGTGCTGACACTGTCCTTCCTTCTGGAGGGTGGCTACTTTTGTTGAACTAATTAGTTCCCCATGAACTAATTTACAGAAGGAGCTTTATCCGCTGTGACATTTGGGGCCCATTCACACCAAAATTGGAAGGAAATCGCAAGTCAATCGCAAGTCGACTTGGAATTGTACCTTCCGATTTCTTCCAACCCTTTCAGTTGCGATCTATTTTTCAACGAATGCTAACAGAAGGACACTGAAAAATGAATGGGTGTGAATGGGGCTAGTTCACACCGAATGCGTTGCATTACGTTGTGCTGAAAAAAAAGTGGTGCACCTTTTCCTTTTTTTTTTAGTGTAACGCAATGGAACGAAGCCATGTGAACTAGCTCCATTCGCACCCATTCATTTTCCGGTGCCCTTCTGTTAGCATTCTTTGAAAAATGGATCGCAGTGCAGTGGATCGCAACGCAACGGACCCAGTGTGAATTGGCCCTTAGGGCCTGTGTTGACAAGCTTTGAGCTCGTGTAAATAGCATCAGTTTGACATCAGTCTGAAACACTTTCTAGATCATTCAGATTTCATTGACAAGTGCATATGACCTGCAGTTGATCTCCTTCTGACCTGCTTTTGACCAGCTTTACGCATGTTTGTAGACTTGTACGAGAATGTAAAACCCACTTGAAGTGAACAAAAGCCTGTTGACACAGGCCTTTATACTGCTGCATTCTATTAATAGAATAACAGAGCTTTGTGTTATGTTCATATCAACCTGCGGGTCTTTGTATGTTTTAATGCCTCCTATTTATTTCTTCATAACATAAAAGCATGTAAAAGCTCCGATATCTCACCAACAGAGCGCTTGAGAGGTATAACAAAATTGTTGGGAAGTTTAACTCTTCAACATCTATCAAGAACTGAAATGTCAATTTGGGTGGATTGATCAATGGATGTATAAGGCCACTTTCACACAGACACCTTTAGTCCAATCTGCAGGGGATCCATCCACGGATCCCCTGCTAATTGAAGTTGATGTCACCATTGTGATATCACCATTCCATTTAGATCAGACTGCCCATAGACTAACACATAATTGGAATGCCTGTGTGAAAGGCCTCTAAGAGCCCATTCACACTAGATGAAGTGCGTTCCGGCCCGATTCTGGCCAGAACGCACTGCTTCGCATTGCGGCCGGCTCACTTTTTAGTGGGGCAGGAGGCAGCGTGGCGGGCCATTGAAGTGAATGACGCCGTAGCCGCGCCCTCTGGCCGCAATGCGATTGCCCGCACGGGAATTGCAAGGCACAACGTGCCTGCGGTCCGGTGCGGTGCGATTAAAATGCTGCAAGCACTATTTTGATCACACCGGACCGCAGGCACAATGTGCCTTGCGATCCCGTATGGGCGATCGTATTGCAGCCGGAGGGCGTGGCTACGGCGCCATTCACTTCAATGGCACGTCACGCCCCCTCCTGCCCCACTAAAAAGTGAGCCGGCTGCAATGCGAGGCAGTGCGTTCTGGCCAGAATCGGGCCGAAACGCACTGCATCTAGTGTGAATGGGCCCTAATTGTTTTTAGACAGTTTTATTATTCACAAGGAACAATGATACAAAGTAGCTCCTACCACCAGTCATAAATGTGAACGGTTCAGAATTTCCAAACACACTTCAAAATGAAAGAACTGTCATGCATCCAACTTGTTAAAGCACGTCTATCATCAGAAATATTTTTTATGTTAGGTACATGCATACTAAGTAATATGTGACACTTACAGATCTTTATTACAACTAAAAGAGCTCACAGTAATCCCCCTGACATTATTTTATCTTCCTTTCTTCTCAGAAGGCAGATGGAATGTTTGTTCTAGGTGCCAAGGTCAGCATCTTCTTCTGGGACCAAAATACTGGTCCATTAATAATGTAGTTGTGTAACGCCTTAAATTTGTGATAGCCTTCATGTTCTTGTTGGTTTCACACAGTTCAGCCCCGCATTGCTGTCTCTCAGTCTGTGACCAGCCAGTGTTAAAATCTATCAGATTTACATTTACACAAGAAGGAAGACAGAGGAAATGCCTCCACCTGCCTGCAATATATAAATAATATATTATTATTAATATAATTCTCCTGGTATTAGACTTTAAGAGACAGGCTAGGCTCAGACAATGAAGCTTAACAACTATTTTTCACACAGTACTTTTTTTTTAAATGATACCGTGGCTGCATATAGTGACATGTAAGGAATGTATTCATCCAGACTTGTAAAATGACTGATATGGCTGTTTTAATACTATTGTATTCTTTTAACATGAGATATCTGGTGGTATCATTTGCAGGGATATAATTGAACATGTGTCTTACGTGGTTCTAACAACACCTAACTGGTAAAGATGATGCCTCGCCATGTTATGCTTTGCACTCTAACTTTTGCACTTTGTGACCTGACTCTATCCACAGTTCTGTATATATACAGCTGTAAAAAGGCAAGTTTCTTTGAAGATGTGATGCAGTTTAATATATTTCACTCTATGCTGGATATCTGGGGGACTACTCTATTGAGGACCTGTATATGTGTTGGAGCTGTCATAGGTGTCTCCTGGAACAGGGAGAATGGTCCCCAGCGGCTGCGGGCATTTATAAATCCAATGACTTTGCTGTGCTACCTCATTGCTTCTTATGCCATGATTAAATTGCTGCTGTTTTCTGAAGAGGAAAAGCCAGTACAAGATGCCTGGTTCTGGAGTCTCCTGTCATGGACCTGGCTGTCATCAGCTCTAACACTCTTTGCATGGAAACAGATGGGAGATTTCACTCCTTGCAGACAGGAGACAACGTATTCTGGCCTTCTAGAAGACCAGGAGGTGGCACAGGTGGACACACAGAGGAGAGAGGTAGAAAGTGACACATCCGGGGCAACCATAGGAAGACTACTATCGTACTCTAAACAGGATTCTGGTTATCTCTTCATAGCTTTTTTTTTCCTTCTTCTATGCACAATGGGTAAGTGATGAACAATTGTTCTCTAAAGGCATCTATTTAGCAGATCCTTAATATGTTCAGTAGGCTTTACAATACGTGGGTAGAGGGAAATGTATATTAAGTGCACTAGCATGTGAAATTCAATTTAGTGATTCAAAATGTTGGGATTTTGATGTTATTGACTGCAAGCAGTGATACCAGACAGTGTGCCTGACACCCAGAGAAATATCAGCTTATAAAGTTAGGTTCCCATAATTCTGTAATGACATGTTTACTATAAGAAGTGGTAGTCAACTTACTTGACACTGAAGGGCTCAAGTGCAGCTCCTGACATCACCAAAGGGCAGAACATATTAGTCACTGAATGTAATGCTACAGATACAGAAAGGTATCAGAGATTGAACAACAGGAGATGGTCAGAGGAAGCAAATTTGCTATAGGAGTTGCTAGATACTGGGGACATCTTTTAGGAGACAGTCATAGCCTGGAGACGTATCACATGAGACTACCTCACTGTTATTACTGTCCCTATACAAGTCACTTCCACCTTTGTGCTCCCTATCGCTCTCTTAAAAACTACTTGTGCCACATTTAATATTTCTCTTAACAAAATCTATTAAAATGTGAAATAAAAACATTTATAATAAAAAGGTTTAGACAGCACAGAACAAGTAAAATACTGTGACTGCAAAAGAAACCAAAACCAATACCTAGAAGCCAAGCTAAATAATATATTTCCTTTACCTTACTGGCTTGGATAATCTCCAAAACAGACTACTGTCTGCAGGGGCCCGAGGGCCTGCACAGTAAGTGCCACAGGGTGGCATGTGGCTGCCGAGTGGCAGATTGGTTGGCACCAGGGCCTTAAAGGCTCATATATCTACTATATATCTTACGGAAAAACTGCTTTCATTGCATAAATGTGGATATTTGGCTACCTTTAACACATTCTGGCCCTCCCTCACCCCTACAGCCTTTTTGATTTTGCTAACTGTTCACATTTTTTCACGAAAATGTGCCTACTGGAGTCAGTTTTATAAAGGCAGTTGAAAATTCAGAGGAATTTGCAGTCTAACACAAACCCACTTGTGACGATGCAGAGTTACTGCCTTTCAGTTGTTTTATCAGGTAGTGTCAATAACTGGGCTTATCCATAAATGAAATAACTGGGCTCATCCATAAATCACACAGTTCTGGGGTAGAATTTACCCTTTTGTCAAATTTAATCAGCAAACTTTGACCGTGCCCTTCAAAATGACATCACAAGCATATGACCCCCCCATTTACCCCTGAAGCTAAAAATTGCCCTTAGATTTGTGCCATATGCTTCATTATGTAAAAACCCACATGTGCATACAGTTCTAAAACATTTTCACCTAATTTGGGAACCCTCAGTAGTGTTTAAAGCAGGGCCCCAATGCAAGTATTTTGCAGCAGTATAGGCTAGGTCCATTACCAGCTGGTCCATCAGGACAGTTATTGTTATAAAAAAGGCTTATATAGCGATATAGAAACATGTTAACATGATCCTGTATTGTTTGATTGGTTTCATTTGTATGTTGTGATGTGAAGTCCTGATAATCTTCAGTTTGGAGGCATCTGGTGGACCAAATTAACATATTTCGTAAATTAGCTGACATGAATAATTGTTACCTCCATGCATTTAGTAAGAGTGTGACCTGTAAGTCCCCATTCACACACGAATCGGCCTGCACGTTCAGCTCCGTGCGGGGCCGTACCAAGCAGCTGCCGGGAAGGACAGGTGCTGCGTGTGATTAGTACGCAGCCCCCGTCCTTCTCTATGGGGCTACGCTGCCCCTCAACTGCAGGTACGTAGGGGTGCGGATTTTCTGGCCGGGGCGCATACAGGATCCATTCCGGCGGCGTATGAATACGCTCTCCCACACCCCTACGGATATGCAGGGCGGGCCAGCGTAAGGGGGCATACGGCCGCGTAGCCCCATAGAGAAGGACGGGAGCTGCGTACTAATCACACGCAGCACCTGTCCTTCCCGGCAGCTGCTTGGTACGGCCCCGCATGCAGCATGGAGCTGTACGTGCAGGCCGATTCGTCTGTGAATGGGGCCTAAGTGTTTTACAGATTTGCACCATATACTGTACATTAGTTGCGTCTCCGGGAGGCGCTTACATAGACATCAGGGCAATTCTAAGTGTGGAAGATATAAACACATCAGAAGACTAGTAAGTTCTCTTATGACAGCTGTAGCAGTAAAGGGCTACATGAACCCTTAGCCATATCAGATCTATATAGATCAGCCTGGCGCAAAGATACATCAGCCTAAACATGCAATTAGCCTACACAAGACACAGAATAACTGACCTGGTTGGAGGTCAGACTGTGCAACCTTATTACAAGCCTGGCTTGAGCTCAGTATACCAAACAAAATTAGATTGCAGTTATTAGATTAGATTGCAAAATTTAGGTTTAAAATTAGATCAGTCTGAGGACCATCCGGATTGAGTAGTAGAATATAATAGTAATGTCACAATATTTTAGAAGTTCCCCTTCCTCAAACTTATCATACATATCAACACTTCCCAAGAACAAACTCATTTACGGGCAATGCCGCTAAGGTGTCTAACCAGTTCTCATTTGTTTCTTAACATTATTCCTTTGTAGTGCTTCATAGGCACCCTTTGGTCATGAACAGTTCCATATCTTTGGTGCCATCCAGTTTTTCTTCACACCCCAACCAGGCCATGGAAGTTTCTTCTGGTGCAGTTAAAGAGTTGACTTTTGATGCAGTCTGAACCAGTGGAAAGGTTGTCTCTCAGATCAAGTATTTTGAAGTGTGGAAAGAAAGTGCTGGACTCGTGGGGTTATGCTTTTGGTGTTTCTCATCCAGCAGTAGTTAAGTGATGTGAATATGAATGATCTGGCTAACGGGCTGTTTCTGCACTCCAAAAGATCTCCACAGTATCATTGGCTTGACAGTGAACACAGTAGATGTAGGAATTGAAGTGCCACACCAATTGAAATAGTGCAGATACAGCTTTATTCCACTAGGATCAAGGGGATTTTTAAGTAGAGTTTCCAATGTGTTTCAGGGGTACAAAATAAACCCTCTTTAGCAGGGCTTTACGAGAGAAATCATGCAAGTGGACTACAATCCCTGCAGCTTGAGAGTTTTATTGGGTTGTGATGGGAGTGCTTCAGGCTTGTCCGCAGCTTGTTTGATGAAAGGGGTGTGTTTTCAACCCCGTAATGTAAAGCTGAGTAAGGGTTGGATACTTTACTTGAATGTTTACCTGACCCTAATGGTATAAAGTTGTATCTGGACTATTTTAATTGGTGTGGTGCTTCAATTCACACATCTCAGATCAAGTAGTTATTTGATAATAGCTTTTGAGTTGTTCCCACTGTATTACTTACCTCATACCAGATTGTTAATGAAAAAATCACAAGCTGCTATTGTACCCTGGAATGCTGTTTCCTAAACCAAACACAATTATAATGCCCATAATACAAACACTTCACCCTTTTAAGTATATTACTTAGCCAAGCAATTCAGAGACTCTAACCAAGACTATAATAACTGCCAGTTATGGGTTTACTTGTGCATTATAGAGCACCTATCACTCACAGAACAGCGCATTACACCTATGTCATCTTTTTACATGAAGGTGACATTTTCTAAGCATAGATCATAAATATGTATTAACATTTTTGATTATCAACAGCCCCTTTTCTATGGCAGATTTTTAAAAATATAAATATAGTCTTTGGATAGTTGCCACTGTTGAAATTTCCCTGCCATGAGTAGCACACTCGTAATTGACACATTTAATTATTTTAGGGAGATTGTAACAGACCCGTGGCCTTATGTAGACAGGGAAGGAAATTAATAATTAATTAAATGGACATTTCTCAAGGATTTAAAATGTTATTTAGTTGCCAAAGTTTTCATTTGCACCAGAGTAAGGGATGCTCATGTAAATGAAAGAAAAGGAATTAAACAATAGCATTGTAATATGTAAGTGCCTGCATGTACTTATATGATTACCCTAGGACCTACAAACAATGAGGCTGGTCCATTGTTTTCTGACACTTCGTGTTGGGCTTGGCGGAGGAAGATGGGTACAGTACAGTCCTGAGGTTTTCAGAAAAAAACATGTGCCTATTAGAGCACCCTGGGTTTCAAGAGTACCAGGCCGCTTGTGAAGTTAAAGCAAAGGCACCTGTCCACACTTTACCTGCTGCATTAAGCTAAACCAAATTGATATCATTGTCTTGGATTGACACCAATGGTTCAAACACATGCTGACTTATCATGTATATAAGTCATGATCTTACATTGACACCGATTGCTTTAATCATGTGTGTGGTTGCTATCAATTTCAGGGTTCCTGTTGAAAAATCTTTCACTGGAGATGCTGCAGCTCTAATTAGTTTGATGTCATTTATTTACTGAAGGATAAAAGTGGTGGTACATCAATTTTCTGGTTGTTTTGGGTGTGGTAGTATTGACACCTATTGATTTATTGCACCCAGAAATCTAATTATTCCACAAAGCGGATGTTACCCTTATCCTGTTACCCTTGAGCTCTGAAACCAACCCCCTAGGAGATAATTTAGTAATCTTCTGCCCAGCCATTTGCCACTGGATGCAGCAGAGGATCATAAAATCCCTCTAGTGGAGGGAATGCCATGCAAACAGCACTCACCCAGCATATGGCTCGGTAGATAATTTTATAAATCATCCCCTTAATCTCAACTGTTTTCCTAAAGCTAGCCCTTAACTTGGACCCAAACCCTTAAAATAATGATTACCCCTATGTACAACCCTGAAGCCACCTCTAAACCTAATCCCTAAAATAAACATGAACCTAGGCACTAATATGACAAAAATGATTACATTGAAATCACATTGAAAAACTGATTTCTGCAGGTCAGGAGAATCAGAGTGACATCAATATTGACCAATGGAGACAACAATTGAACCTGCTGATGTCAACCCACAAGTTTGGTACTAGTTTTTTTTATAGGCATTGCTTTTTATGTATTTTATTGTGGCATGGTCCATGCACCAGACCACACAAACATTTGTGCATGGATGATAGTGAACTCATCAGCTAGGACTATATTTGAAGCCTCTTTTCTGTACAGGGGCTGGTTATCAGTTTACAAATGCAGTTTTCTTTTATCACAGGGGAAATATTCAGCCCATATTACACAGGGCTGGTCATAGATGGTATTGTCGTCCAAAGAAGTTTGAAGCAGTTTTCCAGCGCAGTTGTAATACTAGCAGTTCTGGCTGTGGGGAGGTAACAGTCTGGCTCATTACTCTTCTTCTGGTGTGATAATATCTGATTGAATCCTTGCCATGCATGTGTATCTAAGCAGGTTCTAATAAGGATCATTCATAAAGTGTAATACTAACATGTGCATGTTCTAAAGCAATGTAAAGCATGCAAAGGGTGGTTGGACATACATGCATGATCTGGCTGCTTTATGAACCTGTTGGCTGTCATGAATGATCATCTGAAATTATCGTTTGTCCATTATCTAATATGGGTACCTTAAAAAGACCCTGTCAGCAACCTAATGATTGCAGGTAAAAGCACAGACAATGAAAGTATTTCAAATGTTTATTTGAAGTGTTTTTCCTTTCCATAAACAATTTTTTATTCATTTATAAGGTGCCTTTAAACTTTCTAGATTATTTGACCACTCCAGAAAGAGTAAATTCCCTTTCATGGCCACAGTTCCCCCTTCTTCCTGCCACGTCAAAGCCCTCTCCTCTTCTAGGAATGTATAATTACTGCTTGTGCTGGCCCAGCTACTCTGCCCCTCCCCTTACCTGTCTACAGGCTCAGGGCTTTTGGATGCCTATGCAAGTGTGGCTTTTACAGGTAAATAAAAGATGTAAAACGCACATTGTAGCATTTCAAATGAGTTTTTTACACTGTGGGCTCCTGATTCAGGCTCCTTCTGACCCCTTTATGTTCCAGCTTGAGAAGAAAGAAAAGTAATTTGTGACAATGTAGTTTTACACAATAGCATTTAACAATATTAAGTTTCAGTTTATTTTCTGTTATTTTTTTCTAGTTCATTTTCCGCAGGGTTACGGGGCGGTCTTTTTACATTCACATTCGCCAGACTGAATATCAGGATCCGAAACCTGCTTTTCCGTTCCTTGACATCGCAGGAAATCGGTTTCTTTGATGAGAATCACACAGGTCAGAATCCTCCAGTTACTATTTTGTTTTGCTGCCAACCTAGAGTTTGACTTTAAAAAGAAATTCGGGCAAATAACAAACATAGCCTTGCAGTGGGGCTACCCCCTGTACTTCAAGGGTTAAGTGCTCTTTTTGTCTAGGGGGGTCAAATAAAGCAGATTTACTTACCTGACGCTCGGTCCCACCGGCAGTCTCTTCTCCTCTGGGCTCTGACAGTCTAAGGACCACTGATGTCATCTTGTCTTAAGCTGGGCATACACCTATAGATTATCTGCAGATTTTCTATGGTCAGATGGAAAAAGCGCAACAGATTCCTCCGTCTACGCTAAACTGTGTGGATGGAAGAATCTCCCACTGGGCCAAGCTTCAGTATCTTGCTAGTTGGCCCCACTGGCTCTCAAAACACCTGAACAATCTGATTGAATGCAGGCATTGTTCAGGTATTTTAAGAATCCCTTTTTCCTTTTGACCATAGACAATCTGCAGAAAATCTATAGGTGTGGGGTCAGCTTTATGCAGGACCATTGAGAGGTGAGTGCTGACCACTGCAGGTTTCCCGAGATCAGGTAAAACAACTTTATTCCAGCTTTGTGGTGTATTTGTGTGTGTACAAAATAACCAGTGTTCTTGGAATTCTGCTTTATATGGTTAAAGGCAGGTCTGCACTCAAAAAATGCAGAATGCAAGATTTATATCCAGCATACCGAAACAAAGCTTGTTGGTGTTACAAGCCCTGTTTCATTTTTTTTTTTCTAATGTTCATGCTTTTTATTACATTTAAAAATACATTTTAATACAAAATGAGCAAACACCTCCATTGAACAAGCTCTCAAAGGTTGAGTCAGATTTTCTTCTTTTTTCAAAAGTTATCCACTAGATGGTAGCAGAGAGGCAAATATGAGAGTGCTGTAGTGTAGCTAATGGTCACCCAACTGAAAAAGACAGCAGCCTTGCCCAGGTTTGCTAAGGTTGCAGGTGGTAGCGTACCTAAAAGTTTCTGTGGGTTATCAGAATTATTATACAAGATTTATTTAGCGCCAACAGTTTGCGCAGCACTGAGTGATACATAAATCATGTACATTTTTAAATTAATAGTTAAGGGACTTGAATGCATTTTTAAGATTTAACTCCTGAGTTTAGTGTCACTTTCAAATCAATGAGCAGGAAATATTAAAGCAATTAGATTAAAAGGAGGACAGGCAACCAGGAGAGGTCAGCAATGCTAGCCTACATCAGGGGTGGACAAATGAATATGGAATTCAGGAGTCAGTTTGTCCAATCCAGGAGCCTGCAGGATTTGTATTAGGAACCAGCTCCATTGACAGCTACAGAAAACCTCAAAAGTTAGGTGCCAGCTGTCATATTGTAGGAGAATTGGCTACCTGACTGCTGAGATTTGCCCAGCCCTGGTATATATATTTCACTCACTACAGGTCCCTTAATAGGAGGAAATGTTCCTAGTCACTTTATATGTCAGTTTCTGGGCTTTTTGTAGTAGGACTAGAGATCTCCAACCATCATGTCCACTGGTTAAGAATTATATCCGAGAATCAAAGCCTGTGATCTATTATCACAAATGAAGTGTAATAACGTGTGACATTTATGATCCTGACCTACAGGTGACATCATCTCTCGTCTGACTTCTGATACAACAATCGTCAGTGATGTGGTCTCTGAAAACGTTAATGTCTTCCTGCGCAGTGTGGTAAAATCCGTGGGTGTGATAGTCTTCATGTTCAGCCTGTCATGGCAGCTCTCGCTGTTGACCTTCCTGGGATTCCCCATCATCATGCTGGTTTCCAGGGTTTATGGCAAATATTACAAGGTTTGGAGACTCCCTTGTGCTCTGTTTAGCTGACAGCTCACACTTTCCATTCTGACTTGCCAGATGAATGAATGGCTCTTTTTGTAAAAACTGTTCAGCGTACTAGATGTGTTGTAATATTCTCCATCCACAGATCCCGCCAAGAGATCTGTCAATGGAGGACACGGGTGTGTCTGCGAGGAGAAGAAACCTGGGATTCAGATAAGGGGGGGGGGGAGGTGATGTTGATGGGATGTTTCATGTTGCACCTTGAATATGGGTGTAACATGACATATGATCCAAAAGGTGATCTTAGCGTGCTTTTGAAGTGTAGGCAAACAGATAAATACACACCAGAAAAGCATATGTATGAGCATGCCTTACCTGACAAAAACTGTCATTCTGTTCAGCCAGTTTTATAATCTGGCTAGCCCTGACACTATTCGGGGTCCTGACTATTTACTTGTAGGTCCAATCAATACAGCTTCATCAAGACTTTGATTGGATACTGAACAAACAGCAGCTTAGAGATTTTGACCTGTCTGCTCTCTACTCCAATCAGCAAGCTGCACTTCTTAAGGTGCCCACACACCTCGTGATAATCGTACGATAATCTTAGGAACTTTTATCTTAGGAACATGTTCGAAAACCCGCCGAGCATCGTACGATGTTCGGCGGGTGTGTAGCATGTTCGTAAGATAAACGCCGGACGGACCGGTGTGCGCAAGCGCACACTGCCCATTCGGCACAGCGGTCACCCGAAGCCCGCCCGTCAAGGGGGCGTGGCTTGCGAACATCGCAAGTACGATCTGCCTGTCCAAGATGGGCAGATAGTACGTTTTTTTAATTACCTTACAACCATCGCAAGACTAAAGTCTTGCGATGGTTGTACGGTGTGTGCCCAGCCTTAGATTCACAATGCAACGCAGTAAAGCCTGACTGACCTACAGATGTCCCCAGTGCAGGAGGCCAAAACTAAGACAGATTGGGGTACTATATAAAAATATATGTACATGAGATCTAAAGGCAACAACATTGCATTAAACATTCAGAATGAGCATTGTGAAAGGGCTTGTTATTATGCTCCAAAATATTTTTTTTCCTTTTAAAAGCACTGCATATCCCTGCCACTTCTGAGTAGCAGCTTCTGTTTTTTGTGCTTCCGGGTCATTTCAGTTCTTGTCATCTCCCATAATGCAGCTGGGGGCTTCAGGCCTAAGGAGAGGCTGGCAGGGTATAAAGGTGGGTGGGAATGTGGGTGGGACATGAGGTAAGTGGGGTTGGAGCTGTGAGGCAGTAGTGAAAAAAACAATGTACTACCGTGTTTCCCTGAAAATAAGACAGTGTCTTATTTTTTTTTTGCACGAAAAAAGACACTAGGTCTTATTTTCGGGGGATGTCTTTCCTGGCTGGGGGAGGACTGGACGAGGTCCCGGAAGGCGGCGTGCTGTTGCCGGTCCCGGTGTGATGTTATGCCGCTTCCATTGGGCGTGTGGGCGTGGTGGGAACTTCGGCTGGCGTGTGGGCGGGGCGGGAGCTGCGGCCGGCTGGCGTGTGGCCGGGCGGGAGCTGCGGCCGGGCTTTTCATTTAAAATTCAGTTTATATGCAGCTACCGCGAAAAATAAGACCTAGCACTATCTTCAGGGATTTCTGTAATATAAGACCTACCACCGAACTAGGTCTTATTTTCGGGGTAGGTCTTATATTACAGAAATCCCTGAAGATAGCGCTAGGTCTTACTTTCGGGGAAACACGGTAGTTTCTGAGCACAGTGCTTCTGCATGTGTGAATACAATGGGAAATATTAGGAAGGCAAAATGAAATGTGAACACATGAATATAGGAAATATATGTGAATGTGGTTCTCAGCATCTACTCAACGGTATTTACTGGGACTAAATGGATATATAAATTGAAATATACAGAGTGAGAGATGTAAAAATGGCATGCTGAAGCAAATCTGAATTTTTTGTTTCATGACGTTAGTGACGCTTTAAGTATTTTTAATACTTTTTTAATAACTGCAAAAGCGAATGAAATATTGTTTTGTATATTTGCCTACAGTTACATAATAAAAGCACCTTACTATATAGCATTTATTTTCCAAAAGGGATACAGAAAATAGAAATGACAACATTTAGAGGTAGACTTGCCAGGTCCTAACCCACACAAGGAAGCCCTTGTCGTACCCAGTGCTAGGGATTCATTTTTGTACTCGAGGAATACTGTCACTTGTCAACTCTCAAGTTTACCACATCTGGGTATATAAAGCATTGGGGGTCTGCAGCAGGATCTCTTAGGGAATTTCCATATACACAGAGCCGCCAATAGAAATGGTCAGGTACATCCTACCTGACAGGACCCCCATTAACCCCCACCAAGTATCAGTGCCTGCAATGACATGCCACAGAAATAATCACTAGTAATAACAATCCTTACCCCAGGCAACTATAATCATATCCCCCCCAGACAGCAATACTAATCTCACCCGGCAGCAATATTAATATACCCCCCCCCCAAGGCAGTAATAATAACTTGTTGTTGCTGCCCAGGGGGGGGAATTATTACTTATTCCTGGGAGGAAGAATATTAATTATCAATAGTTAATAGCAAATAATGAATTATTGAATGTTTAATTTATTCTGGTTTATTATTCATAGGCTGGGGTAGCACTCACTGGGTCCCAGACTCCTAGTCACACACAATCCTAGCCAGACCTTGCTGCAAGCCATTAGCCTCCCCTCCTCCTTTATATCACTCTGCCTGGGCAGCCCGTCGCAGGCCACCAAAGATGGAACTTTAATCTCTGGGAGCCATGGCCTCCAATATTACTCCTCCTGCTGCTGAAAATGGTCTAATAGTCCCTTCTCTGCTACTGGCACTGCTAATTGAATAATCTCCTCTTTGCCCCTGGGGCCCTCTGCTGAACTGATGGGGCCTGGGCTGGTACAGGAGGGCTAGCTCTACCACCCTATCAGTGGGCCTGTATATACAGTACATACAAAAAGTACATTGTACATTTATTTTCTTTATTTGAATATTTAGGCCATCAAAGCAGGAAATAATCGCAAAGCTTCAGGTGCATGTACATGTGTCATTGGTTACATTTGCTTAATAGCTACCTGAATGTCTCTGCCCTGTTCCTGTTATTAGTCAGGATCTAAATATAGCCAGAGTTACACTGTGTAACATGAGGCTCGTGTACCACACCTAGGGCTACGCTTCCATGACAAGCACTCATACTGCAGGTCTAACTACAAGCTCATGTATTCCAGCTATGCCATGTTTGTTCCTGCTGCCTTTGCCATTAATTAATAAGTGTCCAGACAACAAGTCTTCTCCTCTAAGGCTGGGCACACACCTTACAACCATCGCAAGACTTTTGTCTTGCGATGGTTGTAAGGTACTTAAAAAAACGTACGATCTGCCTATCTTGTATAGGCAGATCGTACTTGTGATGATCGCAAGCCACGCCCCTTCCCCTTCCGGGCTTCCGATGACCGCAATGCCGAACGGGCAGTGTGCGCTTGCGCACACTGGCCCGTGCGGCTTTTGTCGTACGAACATGCCACAAACCCGCCGAACATCGTACGATGCTCGGCGGGTTTTCGAACATGTCCGTAAGTTAAAAGTCGTGCGACCTTACAGTAGTAGAGGTCGCACGGCTTCCACACACCTTACGATAATCGTATGATCGCGGGATTTCCCCCCGATTATCGTATGATTATCGCAAGGTGTGTGGGGACCTTTTAGGTGCCCATACACCTTACGACCATCGCAAGACTTTTGTCTTGCGATGGTCGTATGCTTATTGAAAGCTTGTACGATCTGCCCACCTTGGACTGGCAGATCGTACTTGCGATCATCGAAAGCCCGCCCCGCTGAGGGGCGGGCTTCCGATGATCGCAATGCAGAAGGGCAGTGTGTGCGCGCACACCGGCCTGTTCCACAGCTATCGAACGAGCAGGCTAGAAACCCACCGACAATCGTACGATTCTCGGCGGGTTTTCGAGCATGGTGGTTCGACAAAAGACAAGCGACCGTACAGTAGAAACGGTCGCACGTCTGCGTTCACACTGCTCGATTCTCGTACGATCGCGGGATTTCCCGCGATTCTCGTACGACAATCGAGCAGTGTATGGGCACCTTTATAGCAGTGTGACCTTTTACACAACTACCTCATAATGACAAGCAGCTTTGCTGTTAACCTGATGTGTACCATCTCAGAAAAAGCTGCTGATGTGAACTATCATTAGCTCAGGGCATGTCGGGTCTCTGCACACTACACTTTTCACTTGTGGCATGCTAGCTACATTACTACCACACATGAACTGCATCTGGTTAGTTGGTGCAATGCATCTGATTCGTTTAAACAGCAAAAATGTACATGAGACTGGAACTGTGATTATTCTTTATCTAAAATGGGTTTTCATTTTGATTACATAAATGAACAATGAAGACTTAAAGGGTATTTATGGTCAAAAACTTAAAATATGTATTTCTATATTGAATAAGTTATATCCCACTCTAACAACCATATCGATCTAGGGGTTTGTAAACTTACTTATTGAAAATGCCCATAGGATGAACTTCCTCAATGCACTGACACAATTTCTGTGAATATATGCTTCCTTGCAGCACTAAGCCTACTGTCTGAACTACAACTTAACACCTGAACAATGCAACATTATCATTGCTTGTTGGAAGCAATGCATGATGGGATATGTAGTCTTGAGAAATCAAGATTGCATCACATCAAGCAGCAGGGAAAGAGAAGCAAAGCACACTGGGAATCCAGGAAGTTGATGGGCAGACAGAAGGCAGTACTCACTACATAAAATGGATTTATTAAGTAAGCTTTGATTGCATTATCAAAAACAACTCTAGTATGTATTCTTATTACAATGCTGATGTTGTACCAGTATAGTATATTCTGGGACTTTACAACTCCTTAAACAATGCTTTATAGCAGTGATCGCCTAGTCAGAACCCAACTATGTAAAGCATGTAAGAGCAACACC